AGGGAAACTGAGGTCGAGGGGTGAGAGCTGGCTCCTGGAGACCAAGGGGCAGGCCGTCACACCCAGCCTCCCACGCAGGCACGACCTTTCCCGCCTTTGAGATGGACATCTACAGGAACCTGGGCAGTGTTGACTTTCCACGCGCCGCGGACGGCGACCTGGCGGGCACTGTGCATCCCAGGCTGCAGGTCGCTGTTGGGGGGGGGTTCCTGAACATCGGTCCCAGGACTGTCAGGGAAGCCAGGCCAGGATAGAGGGGCTCAGCATCCCATGGGGTCCCTAACACTTCAGAATCCAGAGCAGGACGGGAGGCGGGCCCAGTCCCCATCCCTGCTGGAGCCCCCCTACCCCTAGGGTCTGGCTCACAGTAATCTTCACCTGAGGGTTGTGGGGGGCTCCTCAAGGATGCTGCCATCTTCTGGCTAGGGTAGGGAAAGGGAGGGTAGGGACAGAAGCAGGCTGGTGCAAATGCAGGATTCGGTTGATCCTCCTGCATCCCGTGCCTGTGAGAAGACTGTCCACAGGGGTCACTGTTGACCAGGGTCTTGTGCAGCCGCGGCCCCCCCCCCCGTTCATTCTGTTCTGGCTTATTTATGACACCTGCTGGAGGGAGCGTCCGTGCCCCATTTAGGCATCGTGTCCTGAAGCAGGCATTTTAGCCTTGCAGATATTATGTAACAAGTTATTTTAAGGACTTTTAAAAGTATAAGCATGGGCCACATGTTCATATTTTGGCCCAGACTGCATACAGGACCAGGTCTGGTGCCACTGCACTTCCAAGTGAGGACACAGCCACCTTTGTTTACAAAAGCAGACCCCTTGATGTTCTCACAATGACAAAGTCATCTAATGACACATTTCTCAGAACTAATCCTGTCACCAAGTGGCATGTGAGTGGATTATATCGTACCTAATGTGTTTTAAGCAGTATTTAATTTAAAGTACCTACAGGGCACCAAATATGTGGTTGTTTTTTTTGTTGTTTTGTTTTGTTTGGTTTGGTTTGGTCTGGTCTTTTTGAGACAGGGTCTCCCTGTAGCCCCAGCTGGCCTGGAACTCTAGCTATGTAGACCAAGCTGGCTTCGAACTCACAGAGATCCGCCTGTCTCTGTCTCCTGAGTGCTGGGACTAAAGCCATGTGCCACCACACCTGGCTCCAAATGTGTTTTAAGCATCATTTAATTTAGATTTCAGGGTGATAAGAGGGAAATATGACATCTCCATTTTACAGACAAGGAGCAGAGAGCTTAGTAACTTGCTCAAGGTCACACAGTTAAAAAGAAGCTTCACTCAGGCTTTGAACACTGACGTGACTGTGCCATGAATCATCAGGCACACCCCCACAATGACAAATGTTTCTCCAAGGTGGCTGGTGTCTCCATTTCTTCATAGAGAAGGTTGGCATATCAACTGACACATTGCCATATAGATGGAGGGAGGGACAGGTGGGCAGGCATGGGTGTGATTGAAAGTGCCACCAGCTGGATTTATCCCCCTACCCTGGGGGGCAGAAATCACAGCCCCAGCAACCTTGGCCTTGACTCTTCTCACAGGACCGAGACTTTGAGCCATTGAAGCCTGGTGAACCCATCTTCAAACTGTTCAACGGTGAGGATGTGCTGTATAAGGGGGACTCCACCGTGTACCCTGTGTTTGTTAACGAGGCCGCCTATTATGAGAAGCACGTGGCTTTCTTGAAGTCAGAGAAGATCAAGGTCTCTGTGCCCACCCTGCAAGCACTGACCTCCGTCTCCACCCCAGTTCCCTAACCCCAAGTCATACCTGCTCTGCCTCAGTCTCCCCATTTGAACAATGGGTCATAAGACATTTCTGAGCCCAGGAGCCTCTGCTTCCTGCTGGGCATGGTTTGCCTCACAAGGCCACCAACCCCATGCTATAAAGTGGAACATGTCCAGGGATCATGATTCCTGTCCTCTGTCCTGCATGAACTCCCCCTCTGACTAGGCAGGTGGGTGGAGAGGGGGAGTGATGCCTTCATGGATCTATACACATGTGTGCATGCTGGAAGGGAAACTGGGGGCAGGGCTAACCTTGGACATACTGTACATCCTGGGGCCAGTGGTAACCATCTCTGTGCCCATGGTTGACCACACATACTTGGGGGAGGGGCACAGAGATCCTAGAGTGTGGAGAAATACCTAGGGAGGGTCTTTCAGAAGAGACCAGAGGGGATTCCCCCACTTCCCTACAGACATGTGCCATGTATGCACGCACACGTGCATGTCCAGGTGTATACCTACCCTAATGCTCTAGGGGGGTGTGTGCATTTCCAAGAGCCCCAGAACCTCAAACATTGTCTTCTGACGGGATTTGTATGCAGCTGGGCACCTGGCCCAGATGTGCATTTCCAGGTGGCTCAGGGAGAGTCAGGCTGTACCCAGGACAGCAGCCCAGCTGCAGGGGCACCAGGAGGAGAAGACTTGGGCTGAGGCAGAGGGAAGTCCAACTGAGAAGCCAAGGGGCACCTTCTCTACCATCCCCCAGACCCCATCAGGGGAGGGAGCCAGCACTGGGACCTACTGGGGCCCCCTCATTCTTGACCCAGTCACCCTGTTGGGCAACCACAGCATCAGAAACCGAGCAGGGCAGAATTGGATGCTGGAGCCCAGAGCTCTGTCCTCATACAGTCTCACTCTCTGGCCTCTGCAGCCCGCCTGGCCCATCCATCTCCCTGCGGCTACAGCTGCCACACGGCCTCCTGGTATCGAGCAGCAAGATGAAAAGGTGTGAAGGATATGGGGGCACCAGGGACCAGCTGGCAGGCAAGATGGATGAGGGGGCAGTGGGCCACCAGCATGTGCCTCTGGCAGGAAGGCAGACCAGCCAGGGAGGGTGCAGGGTAGCTTGTCTTGTGCTGTGTGTTTATAAATACCAGGCTGTGCATCCTGTGTCTTATCTGTGTGGCTGTAGAGAGCCTGTGTGTGTGCACGCAGGCCCCATGTGTTGTCCTGTTGTGAGATCATGGGTGTTCATGTAGACATGTAAGTTACAATGTCGCCTCATGTGTGTGTGTGTTTCCCATCACATAGCTCAAAGTCAGGCACATACAAGTCAGGAGACAATAGAATCCCAGGCTGGCCTGTGTCTGGGTGTCTGGGCTGAAGGGGAGCTGCTGAAATTAGGATAGAGTGCCTTAAACCCCTCCATTTTCTCTCCCGCGGTTCACCTACCACACTGCTAATCCTGTAGCAGGGTGGCAGGGCCACACTTCATCAGAGGCCCCTGAGAGATGCTGGTACCCTCTGTCTTGTAGAGAGCACCTCAGAGATGAGTTTGCTGCCTTCCACACAGTGAAGTGTGGATCTATGCAGGGCAGGACCCCCCACCCCCAACCCTTTCTCTGTGTAACCCTCACAGCTTTAGGCTGGTCGCTGGGGCTAGGGGCATTGAATGAGTGGCAGGGAGAAACAGAACTGGCTGGCTTATGCTACTCACAGAAAAGCCCCCTTCCAGCCATGGGCCTGGGTCCTGTCCCTGTGTACCTCTGCATGCCCCTGTCAGAGAACAGGGCCTCTGTCAACCTAGCCTTTCAGTACCAGACCCTGAGGAGACCTGGATGTTCCCTCCCAGAATAGGCTAAGTTGGGGTGGCTGAGTCAGGTGAACTACTCTGGGTCATGTGGCACAGATCACTGGCCAAGAGGCCCACTCAGCCAAGGAAGCATTGGTTTCCGGGATCCCCACACCTGACTAGTGACCAAACCTCCCTGAATGCTAAGTCCCAAGGTAGGCAGGATGGCCTGGGTGCCCGGTGAGTCTAGGGAGGGACCAGTGGATAGAATGGATCATTGAAAGATCTCTGACGCAGGCCTGCCTCAGTCTCAATTCACACCTTGATGGAGATGACAGGTGACCATTATTTGAGGGCACAGCCCCATCTCATAACCCAGCTCAGGCTAAGTCATCCCAGGCAAAGAGATTATATACGCAAGTCAGTTAGGAAAATTGAGGCATGGGGACTGGCAGTGTAGGGCAGTTCGTGGGGCTGAGCTGTCAGAAGGACTAAATGTATTACCCCCACATCTCGGGCCCTTCCTGTGCCCACCCCTGTGTTTCCTGTTTTCCACCCTCTCCCATTCCACACCAGTAGGCCAGGGTCTGTGACCTGGAGGGAGGGCATCAACTCTGCACACAGCCTTCATTTGTTGCCCCTCCTGCTGCCTCCCATTCACCCCCTCCATCCAGCCAGATCCCGGCCCCTGTGGACACCAGCCTGTCCTCAAGATGGCCCCCCACCCCCACCTGCACTGGGGCCCATTGATCAGGAATAGCTGGGGGGGCTCTTGGCTGGAGAAGGGAGGGAGGGCCAGGAGAGGAGAGGGGGCTTTGTAACGTCACAACCTTCCCACCTGCCCCCCTCCACATGCGCCCGCCCCTGGAACTAGACAAGCCCAGCTAGTGGCTGGGCCCCAGATACAACAGCAGCCCCCCTCACATCCCGGAGTCTGTGAGCTTTACCTGCAGAGAGAGGTGCCCAGCTTGGGAAGGAGCGCCTCCGCCACGGACGGACGTGGAGGGTGATCAGAGAGGGAAGGACAGTCCCGACACTGGAAACTGTGCCTCCCTGAGAGCAAGGTGTGTGCTGAGCCCAGGAGCAGGCCTGGAGTGGCTGGCCCCCCTCCCAGAGTGGTAGGGGCCCGTGGGTGAGGCTGCAGCCCAACCCCAGCTGAGATCCGGCTGTCCCCATGGCAGGTACAGTATGGTTCAGGCAGTGGAGGTGGCCCCCTTGGTGGCTTGGGTTCCAGGGTGAATGGGGCAGGACAGGGACCAGGGCTATGTTCCTCAGGGATCCTCAGGCTGTGTTCTCAGGTCCTGCCCAGCAGGGTTAAGAGACATGCCGTCTCCCAGGTGCAGGTTTGGGGATGCTGACAGGAGGGGAGACCCTGCACTTTTGGGAGATGAGAATCTCATCAGGCAGATGTGGCCTGGGCGTGTCCCTTGAGCAGCAGTGGGGGCCTGACACAGATCCTCTGGAGTCCATTTCACACCCTACTATCCGGCCTCTTTGAGATTATCAGCCCCTGTGAAAGGGGTAGTGTGCTGGGTTCTGGAGGGATGGGCAGAAGGCTCTATGATCAGAGCTCTGAAAAGTGCTGAGGTCATAGGTAGAGCCTCTAGAAAGCTTGGGGCTGGTGACAGCTGGCAAAGCCCCCAGGCCTAGGGAAGCAGTGAGCCACACCCCGGGACTTACCCGCTGTGGAGCTGGTGCTCTCCTTCACCGGTAGTGCGTTCTGAGGATCAAACTCGTGTTGCCAGACTTGGGCAGCAAGCACTTTTACCCGGAGCCATCTTGCCAGCCCCCCACCTGTCTCTTCGTCCATCTATCCAACATCCAACATTCCCTTTCCGTGTCCCTTAATTTTGTCATGGTGTGAATGCCACACACCCCTCACCTGGGGGGTGCTGCTGGAAATGGAGACCTGGCCCCTGACTCCTGGCTGTCATGGCCTCTGTGGCACCTCTGGTCCTCACCCCTTACAAGACTTGTTTTCTACTATGATTTTTTTTGTTGTTGATTTTGTTTTTTTTGAGACAGGTTGTCTTGTAGCCCAGACTGGCTTCGTATTTTCTATGTAGCTGAGATTGCCCTCGGACTCCTGATCCTCCTACCCCAGTCTGGGATTACAGACATATACTCCACACTGAACTCAAAGGAACCCCTGCCCCAGGCTAGGGACTAAAAACAAGGCCTCATGCGTGCCAGGCAAGCATTCAACCACTGAGCTATATTCCCAGCAAAAAATGTATGTATTTATTTATTTATTTGTCTATAGACAGGGTCTCACTATGTACCTCTGGCTAACCTGGAACTCACAGAAAGCCCCCTGCCTCTGCCCTGTGAGTGCTGGACTAAAGGTAAGCACCACCACACCCAGTTTCATCCACACTACTTAATTTCTCATTTTATTTCTTAATGGCTATAAGTAGTGTCTTACTGAGGTTAGCAATGTTGTTTTATATATATTACATATATATATATTAAAGACAGGGTCTTCTTGTAGGAACTTGCTAGGTAGACCAGGCTGGCCTTGATCTCACAGAAATCCAACTATCTCTGCCTCCCAACTTCTGGTATTAAAGGCATGCACTACCATGCCTGGCCTATATATATAT